GGTCTCGCTCAGAGATCTCGCGCTCTATGTCGCTCTCGCGCAAGTCGCGCCCTGTCATGCTAGCCTTACTGGGCTGCCACGCTGAGGTCCCGGGCCGGGAGAAATATTTGTATGGTATGTATATATTTATTTCTCTCGTGAGTTTGGGTGTAATTCGTGGTTATCTGTGTGTGTGTCCATGGCACCCGCGAAACAGGGTTTCCCTAGTGCGGAGTTATGAGTGTGTACGCGCTATTATTATTATATTTATTATTATTAAAACCTAACGTTATTTCGCCCTGTCGCTTTCTGGTGGGAACGCGGGAATGCAACTGCCCACTGCCCTGCGACCGCCATCTCAGGCACCGCCCTTAAAGCGAGAGTCTCTCTTTAACTTGAGTGCACGTCATCCAACCTTGAAAACTTTTCTCCGTTTTTTACATTTATACGATTTTTTCCCCCTAGTAAATAAAACCTGAAGGACATAGGCGACGAATCACACCAGAAATGGGACCCGAGAACTCGCTAAAGGTGGCTTTGTCCGGAAACAAATTATATTATTGCGCAAAAAAGCCTGGCTTATGTATGTAACTAAATATACCGGATAAAACTAACGACGTCGTCAGAATCGGGATATCAGTAAGCGAATTTAGTCTGATAATATTGTTATTGTAACATAGAAATAAGTTTTTAATAAATGAATAAATAGTAATAAATAATTTGTTGATAGTTTCATAATAATAAAAACATTAGTTTTTTTTATGTATTCGTCATGATACAACAGTACATAAGCAACATTTTCGTCTTATTATAACGGATATTAAAGTCGGTGTTACGATGTAGTTGCTTTCATAAATATACATTTTTAATACTACCGTCATCTCAAAATTTGTAATTCGAATTAAGTAAATATCATGTATGTAAACACATAACACATCAGAATCAAAAAGTTGTAGAGCAACGACTGGCGCTTCCCAATACGTTAAACAAATACTAATTGCATTTTCAGGGAATTGCGTACATTGTTAAGGAATTGGAAATTGGGTTAATTTTTTGTTATTAATTTCACTGCTGTCATAAAAATAGTGGAGGCACCAGTAATATTTCATGCATTGTTTCAGGAGGAACATTGTGTAAGGTGAGCAATGCGGGCGCGGCGCGCGGAGCGAGCCCAGTGGGCGCGGTGGGCGTGCGCGCTGGCGGTGTGCGCGTGCACCGCGACTCGCGCCGCGCCCGCCGACCCGCAGGCGTCCGCGCCCGATGCAGCACCGCCTGACGCTTCCCTTGCTACCTCGCCTGAATCCTGCGAAACGCTGCTGCTGCGTAACCCACCACCTAAACCACCTGTGAGTATACAGCCATGTACTTACTTATTTTTTGCAACACATTTCTAATTTTACTATTATTTACGTAAGGTAATGTAGAGGAAAGGTTAAATAGTACACATATATTTTTTAATTTTTATTGATTGTAAAAAAGCTGTAAAATAACCAAACAAAAGTAAATAAAATTAAAATCTCTGTTGGTCTTATTTCCGTTTTCAATGCACCTCTACTAAAATATTCTAACAGGAGCCTTAGCTTAAAAATTAATCCTGTTTGAAGAACTAAAAGGTTATAATAGTCGGTGGACGTCTTAAAGAATAAATAGAATTAATTCTTTGTCCAAATTATACTGGTGTCAAGTGGGCGAAGCGAGCAAGCTCATTTCCTGAACTCTGTGAAATTAATTTCCACTGTTTACCGTGCCGCCGTTACGCGCCATCGGAAAGGAGTTTGCCGGCACACGACGGGACTCGTTGATTACTTTAACGGCTTTTGCAGAAATTAGAATAGCGTACAGTGAACGTTATTTATCATATAGTTTGAATTTGCACATTTGTTCCTAGTCGCAAAATTATGTCAAAATTACCACATCTACGTGTGTGATGAAAAGCAATTATAATCATCCTTTGGACTTTTGTGATTTGGTTTCAGAATGTGGTGGAGTACGAGGCTGCCGCATATCACGCAGCTCGGGCGCTGTCCGAGCTGGTAGAGCGGAATATGGCGGACGAGGCGGCGGCGGCGACCATGGCGCGCAAAGTGGCGCGTACGCCTCTTACGCCGCCACCCGCCGCCGTCGCGCTGGGTGCACCGCAACTACACATCGGCGTGCTCTACATCGCGCAACCGCCACGTCTTGTTGTCTTTCAGCAAAACAATTCAGTGTCACTGCAGCAGTTTTGGCGTACACTAGCTTCCGCTTGGAACGTCAGCACAGTAGTTTGGTCCGGTGCATGGTACTCGTGTGAAGATTTTAGCTGGTGGGGTGGCACCGCCGCAGCACGAGGTGCTTGGCCCGTGCGCGCCGCCGCCGCGCTTTTTCGTCGCATCCCAGCGCTGCCCTGCGAGGAGGCTATGTACGATTGGCTCGGCGGGTCTCCGCTCTGCGACCCAGCATCGACAGATTGTGAAGCTATTACTAACTTGGATACAGGAGAAAAAAGACTGGAGGTAAACGTCATTTTGCAAATTTTTTCAAGACTTGTATAATGTAGAGTCGCGTGGAATGACATGGTATTTGTTTGATTTATGGTGGTTAGTACCGGTGCCGTTGTAGCGCCGGCCACTGGCGCGCGGCGGGTGAAGGCTGGTCCCACGGCGCGACCTTGGCGGCCGCAGGAGAGCCACTGGCGTGTGTAGCGTGTGACGCAAGCGGCGCCGGTGGCAGCGCAGGCCTGCGTTGCCTGCCCGACGTCTACCGTGCAGCGCTACTCGCTGCAAATTTCACTGGCTGTCTACTGTGTCTCGTCATTGCGCTTATTATTTTTAAGAAACGAAAATGCAAAGTGAGTCCCACAGAAAATTTTTTTTTTTCGGATCCGTTTACAGTTTAATTTTGCCAATATTCAAATATTTCAAATGAGTGTCATAATTATAAAAAAAAGTCAGCAAAACTTATTTAGGTGTGTATTTTCACAGGCAGTTGCAATGGGTATGTGGACAGTGCTAGAGGTGGTACTACTTGGCGCGCTCCTTATGTATGCATCTGTAAGTACTCATTTACGTAATATAAAATAACGAAAATTCTATATTCTTCTATACCACTGGAAGGTTATTGGTACTTATAATATCGGTTTCCTATTTTAAGTTCAAATGACAGTTTACATGACAATGTATTCTGATTCTACTGTTGTTTTTATATTGAGTTCTATATAGTCTATGTTGAGTGTGTGCGTTATTATTACGATTATTACCTTATGACGTTACATAATTGTATATGATGCTCACTATAGCTGGAGTTAAATACAAACAACTCAACTGCTACTCCGAAGCCATCTCCTTAGCAATAAATTTTGGACAAATGTTATGTGAAAGTTGCAAACAACTTATTTGTAATCTGTTGATTGAATGCAGATTATCAAAATGGTTGAGTGATTGTCTATATTACATGCTCGACAGGAAAGCTCCGTGTTTACGTAAATTGTGTAACCGTATGATGTATTTTTATTTGGTATAAATGAATTTGGGTTCATTTGATCACACATCATCCGTGTTTCTTCTATATATCAAATCAAGTCAGATTCACATTTTCGTTTGAATGTTTACGTTTTCTGGATAGCATAATTCTAAATAGGGAAATCATACTATCACGTGCCATTCGGTATATTTTATATTATATTAGTATTATTTATACTCACTACTACTCCGCGTGATACTGGATTAATTAATTTTTTTTAATAAAAATAAGTACGCATTTGACCTCCATCTCATGGAAAGGAACTTATCTGATGGAAAGTGACGATGAGGTTGAGGATGTAGCATACACACCCAAATAATGTCTATTCACTCTCGCCTTAAAAAGGTCCAAGTTATAGCGTTCGGGGAACAAGTCTGCAGGCTGGGAATTCCACTCCCTAGCCGCTCGCCATACAAATGTGGAAGCGAAACGCTTCGTACGAATCCGAAGAATATCCACAACATAACATATCCACAACCTGGGAAAGGGGAAGGCGGAATCAAATTATGCAATTCCATCGCACACTCTCCGTGATATATCCTGTAGAATAACGATAAGCTGGCAACTCTACGGCGGTGTTCAAGGTTCTGAGGCGTCGCCTCTACTAAATCCAAGTCACCTATGAGCCTCTTAGCACGCTTGTCTATTGAATCCAAGGTGGCCAGTTCGTATTTAGCGGAGCAATCCCATAAGTGGCAGCAGTACTCCACTCACGACCGGACTTATGCTTGGTACAGCTGAAGCAATTGTCCCGGTATGAAGTAACGCCTCAACTTGGAAAGGATGCCAAGCTTCCTGGCTGCAATTTTGGCCATGGATTCAATGTATCCGCCGAAGTTCAGATTGGACGACAGGTCCATCTCAAGTAGGTGAAGATGGTCGGCTATAGGTCTGGATATATCACGAAAAGTCGGAGTCAGGTGAAAGGGACTCCGTTTAGTGGAGAAAAGACACGCCTGTGTTTTGGTAGCATTAAATTTGACAAGATTGGCAACGCCCCAATCGGAGACTGCCTTAAGTGTCAAATTCAAACGACTAACCATCGACTCTCGACAAGACTGGATTTCTTCTCCACTGACCCTTGCATTGGTCAAGTACCGGTCCACAACTGAATCAACTTATCGTTTATATGCAGCAGAAAGACTGTATTGTAATTTAGACTGTATTGTGTAAACAACAAGCGTACAAAATTGGAGGACTAGCAAGACTAATATAAAAACCCAAATTATCAAGATATTTAATTGTCGCTTCAAAATAGGCGGCGTCCCAATACATATCGTCATCGCGCTGGCGTTGCATCGCGGGGGCGTGGCTCCGCGAGCTAGGATTCGTAGCGTGCTATGGCTCCGTGGTGCTACGGCTCTGGGTTCTCTTAGCTGAATTCCGCACCAGAAAGGCCCATCGGTGGACGCCCAGGGACTCAGAGGTACCAATATTTACCTTTAAAAGCGCAACGTTTATTTTTTCTGTAGCTACGGAAAATAGAGGACGTAACAGTTTTAGCTACGGTTGGTTTTATGACGTTGTGTGCTTAGATATAACTGCAATTTCTAAATTTATGCAGATAATGATTTTGTTACGCCATACATTTTTCTTTCTATATATTGACATGAAAATCATTTATGTAGGTCAAATTATATTTGTGTACTATGTATTGTGTACTATGTAGAAATATTATAACATGTATTTGGAAGGTGAAGTTATGAACTGACGAGGATTCGGGTTTAACGCGTCAGAAAAGAAAGCATAATTAAATCAATCTCCGAAAATCTTCATAGTTTCACATACACTAAATCTATGGATTCACATTATCATAATTAGGCATATTGGTATTTATCGTAATGAGACCTTTAATGCGACTGAACAATGTTCTCTTTTCAAAAGGTGGTAATTTGTGTTGACAGTTACTGTAACGTTACTATTATGTAATGTTATTATTTATTCAGGTGTTGCGAGTGGTAGGCGCAATGGTGCTTGGCGCGGCGTGTTATCTAGCAGCATTTACAGCTACGGCAGCATGTGATGCGGGGGAGGGTGGGGAGGGGGGTGCAGGCACGGGCAGCTGCGCGCGTGCCGCGTGGCACCATGTCACGGCTGCCGCGGAGCTGCTGCTGCTCGCTGCAGGCATGCGGATTGCGTACGCTGCCAGAAATGCCAACGTGCCGTTCCAGGTCAGACTTTGATCATGATCACATTTATTCTGGCATCTTCTAAGAAGCTGTCGAAATATCATAATTTTTTGCCACATATCTGTTAATCTTCCTAAAAATTATAAATAGAGGTGCAATATAATAAATAGAGGTAAATCTTAAAGATTATTAATAGTATAAGTAGATGTGCGCTTGACACGGAATTATCTGCGATATACCTACGTATTGTTTTCAGGAACGTGGATGGCTAACTGCAGCGCTCAGCTGCGAGGCCCTATGCGGTATGGCGTGGCGCTGTGCGGCGTTGGTGGGTGCGGCGCCAGAACGCTCACCACTGGCCGCCACGGCGCGTGCGCATCTCTCTTCTGGCGCAGCGCTTGCTTGCGTGCTCGCGCCAAGACTCTGGCACGGGTATAGAGCGCGATCGTTAGCTCAAGAGGTTAGTCCTGCGTACATTCATACATAGAGTGTCGTTTTATTTAGTTTCTCACCAAAATATTGAAGAGATATTCAGTGTCTGTTTATAAAGATCTTAGGATATTTTTCCGCTCATACCGAAACCTAACTATTCACCACCCAGGTGTCTCGTAGAGGTCCAGCTGAAGGTTTCGGTGCAGAAGGCGAGGAAGAACCTACACAGGAGGAGGTTAGAGCTGAATTGAAGAGGCTTTACATCCAGCTGGAGATCTTGAGGAACAAGACTTTGCGAAGAGACAATCCGCATATAAGCAAGCGTAGAGGAGGACGCAAGCCGCCGCATAGACGATTTTCTCTGCAGGTACATGAACATATAAAAAGTCTGAAACGAAAATGACTATCAACGCTTCCGATTCTGCAGAATAGGCCAAACGAGTTTAAATCTTTTGGGTTTGTACATAGGTATTGAATGACATTTTATCACATAGGTCAAGTTCTATGAAATCGTAAAAGTTTTGTATGTTTCTGTCCTATCAGCAAAGTTTTTGAATCATATCGCATTAACGAGCAGTCTTTTTCAAAAAAGGTATATATATTGTTAGAAAAAAAATATGTTGGTTAAGATTTGATTCTTCTAAAAGTTAATGCGTTACATTTTGTTAACTTTTTAGGCAGGTTTCTTTTTCTTTGCAGAGTTACACGAATTGTTAAGTTAAAATAATGTTGATCCTTTTTTCGTGTTGTTTTATGTAACACACATGTTTTCGCTTGTTTAGTTTTACTTTATTCCTTAGTTTGTCTCTCTTTTACTTGAGTTGTACTTGTACCTGCTAGTACTACCTTTTTAGTTGTCCAGGCATAACATTGGTCCAGTAATTCGATCATTTTCACGGGGTAATAAGACAAATAGTCCAAATCCCGCCTGGTCGGTGCGTCAATGCCTACACGTCATTATTGTTTTGTCCAGCCGGATCGAACGATTATAAAATTTTAAACAGTCATTTTGTCGTCGTCGACAGTTTTAACGATGGATTGTGATAGAAGTTAAATTTTGCCATAAAGTCTGAATTCAGAATGTTACGACGTTCTAATGATTATCAATTGCGCTCTTGCTTTGCTTTTGTTCTTATTTTGACAGTCGGCCTTCTAGAATCGAAATCAAATATACATTGTAATAAGAGAAGGTGGATTTCATCATCTATATTTAATTAAAAATGAAAAATTTTTAAATATGACACCTCTTCGTATTTTTAATAGACATAGAGACATAGTTCTAAATGCAGGGTATGTATGAACTTACAAAAAATTAGGTACAATTCAAATGAACCTGTGCCAAGCAGTTGGACGAATAATGGGCCGTTAATGATGCAAATGAAGCAAGCTCGGCTATTTATTGCTTATGCGTGACCAACATTCAATCGATAGAATATTTTATCGACCACAATCACTAACTGCTTGCAAGCGGGCAACACTTTTGCGCTATGAACTGTCATTTTACTCCATCTACAAAAAATACAGACTTATACAAGTCTCGCTGCTATTTGTATGGAGTTACAATATTTGTCTTATTATACTATGGTAGTATCATTAAATTTGTATAAATTTTTTGTTCGTTTACATCCTGAGCAGGATTGGAATCGCCAATAGATAACCAGTACTTTAGTACGTATCTTCATCTATAGTAACTAGTCATGCTTAATCGACATACAATCGCATGCAATGAAATGTAAACGGTCACATATTTACGAATATATGTAAATACTCGTGTTACATAGTTCGAAAATAAGTATCTTAACATCATGATTATCAACAAAAAATTTATGAGGTAGCTCTGAACTAACAAAATACGCACAAAAACTTTGCAGCTTATGTACAATATATCGCAATAAAATATATATTTGAAAACGATACAATTCTAACTAAAATTTAACAAATTCCGTAGTTTTAAAAGTGGTTACATAATTATGTTAAAATCACAATCCTAATACATACATTTTAATAAAAATACATTGTATAAATAAATATTTACGAAAATTATACGCATATAGGGTTATTTTTAAAATAAAAACAAACTCGCACGACTAAATTATTAACATCATAAACAACAACTTGGTCCATGATTTTTTACAAAATATAATAAATTTCCCAAAAAAAACTTTAAGTATTTGTTGTATTAACACTTTTTAGATCTGTATATGGTAGAATAAATTGAAACGTGCAAGCGTCCTCCGTGACGTCCACCCCATGCTGCATAGTTATTTTATTACCGCTTAGAGCGATCTATTTAAATCTATTCATTTTTATATGAAAGTACAATCTGATGAATTATTATATGTCATGAAACAAAAGTTGTTATTTATGATGTTAGTAACATTGCCCTGTGGGATTGTTAGTATTTAAAAAATAACCCTGCATAAAAAAGACCGTGTATATTTTTTTGTTGATTGCAATTTGTTTACTTTTCTCCGAGATATAAGTATGTCATTTTTTAAAACGGTGTCATGATTACATAGTTTTGAACACAATATTTACATATATTCGAAAATGTGTGAACGTTTAGATTTTATTGCCTCATTACATTTGACGGCCTCCGTGGTCGAGTGGATTTCACACCGGTTTTCATAGTGTCCCCATCTCTGAGGTCCCGGGTTCGATCCCCAGCCGGTTCAGTGTAGAAAACTAACTTATCTATATTGTTTCGGGTCTGGGTGTTTGTGGTACAGTAGTAGTTTCCGATTTCCATAACACAAGTGCTTTAACTACTTACTTTGGGATCAGACCAACGTACGTGATGTTGTCTAATATACATTGCACGCGACTATGCGAGCTGTTGATATTACTGGACGGTGTTTTAACCTATTTCTAGATAAATAACATGTATTTACTGGATCATTGTATGAGCCAATACAAACGATTATGTCACCAAAAAGTGTATCGTGGACCTATAGGTAAATGTAGCCCATTTATGTCACTGTTATATCCATTCTCATTAATTAATGTTTCATCTTCCATCCCACTCCGACTTTAGAAAAAGGGCAGTCGCGACAAGGTAAGGAGACGTGGAATTAATCGCATGCACTCCTGTGGAGCACCCGCATGACCCCTATGGATGTTAGCCCCCGGCGGCCTGACCCTCGACCTTTACCTAAGTTGACCCCGACACGTAGTGGAGTGACCAGCAGCCACCAGCGGCAGCACCTTGCACCGCCCGCGACACTGCCAACATCACTTATCTGTCTGGAATGTTCGGTTGACTGCTTTCTCTGTCCTGTGCTAAAGCGGTTCTTAAAGGGGACTTCATTTTCAAAATTTTTACTAGTTACTAATTATAAGGCACTACCAAATTCTATACTCATATTCAGATCCGGTTTTTCTTTTTAAAATTCCTAAGTCCCCGATGTGATAATATCAGCTTGAACCCTGGCTACGCTAGTTCATTTGTAGTTAGAAATACGAAACAAAATTGAAACTTGTTGATTGGTCTTAAAAATCTTTATTATTCAAACTCTCATCACATTACAAGAGTCAAAATTATTGATTAAAATGTATTCAATGTTTTAGTCTTCTTACTTTTAAAACATTAAATAAAATCAACAAGTTTCAGTCACTCTAAAATTATAATAGAACTAACTCTACAAAAATATTAACAGGCTTTACAAGCAAGACGAGGCGGGAAAGGCAAAGCCGGCGGCAGCGCTAGTGCTGTCGAAGCGAGTGAAGTATATGATGCTTCCAGAACCCCTGAGGACTCGGTTTGCTCTAACGAGGGGCCCTCTCACTATACGGATGGAGACACTCAGGCATGATTGGGGAGTCCGCCTGGCGGGAACTATAGTGATGTTTATGTTTGACGCCAAGAACAGTCTATTGTCTGATGCGGAATAAATGGTAACCTAGGGGGAGATGAAGCATTTGGTCGCAAACGTAACATCAGTGGTACGTGTGAGGTGGAACTTTCAAATTGACGTGTAAAAAGAGATTTCTAATACATTTCTGGTTTAAAAACTTTTGTTATTGGTGATCCATGTACTTACTCATAATATATAATATGGACCCGTTTGTGATCCCAATGTTTGTAGACACCTGAAAATGGTTATTGTTACTTCTGTTAGCATGCTTCAGTAAGGTCAACAATGTGTTTTACATTCCTGGTACGGTTCCATACCTAGACATCATCTCATGGATTATTAACATGTACTATGTAATACTAAGGCACTGCTAAAGCATGCTAATACACAAAATCCTTGGTATAATATAGCCACATGTGATCAAAAGTGCTTTTTCATCACACTTGCATGTAAATAGTATGATTGCATGCAGGCTAACTTGACTATAATACCCCAAATAAAACCCTTGAGCTTTTTTCTTCTCATTACAGCCATGGTCGGTAATGAGAAGAAAATAAGCCCGAGCGTTTTAATTTGAGGCTTTATAGTCAAGTTAGCCTGCATGCAATCATACTATTTAAGTGCAAGTGTGCTGAAAAACATTGTACGTTGCACAGGCGGTACGGGAATAACGACTCGGAAAGGGTTACCTATCACTAGTCCGAAATGACATTTTCCAGAAATAACTTCTGCTCTAATTTTCATAACCTCGAAAGTAATTTTGACAGGAAAATGATTTTTTCTTTCAAACCTAACTTAACCTCTTAACCTACCTTAACCGAACTTAATCGTATCTTTGCGATAAACATCCAACATATCCTGAATGAACAACGGTTTCGTTATAATTCGGGTTTCGGTGTAATGAAAATTCGAACAAACGTTATTTTAGAAAAAAAAATCGAGTTTGTGATAGGTTACCTTCCCTAAGCCCTCTCTTCTAATAGAGTCTCGTTCGTAATTCCTTATTTACTGTTTTTAATACATAATGTACTGTTAACACAAGTCATAAATACATTACGAATTACATGAAACAAATTACGTATGCCAAATTTTATAACTCTCGCATAGAAAAGTTATCGACTAATTTTGTTCGAGGAATCTTTAAACATCTCTCTTCTTCGAAGGCATTTTGAAAATGTGGCCGTATTATATCGAGGGTCCGAAATGTAACTTAATCCTTGCAGTTAAGTTAGTGATGATTACCTAGTCAACCCGATGTGACATAGAGATATTTTGAAAAAAAAAAGTCGTTTGAAATCATTGACTATTTATTGCAAAACTTGTAATATACACGTTAATGGTAATGTATTTTTTTATTATTATTAAGTTGTATGAATCTCTAAATGTGATTACTGGTTTTAGTTCTTTCAACAAAACAAATTTGATTTAGTTTTCAATAAACGACATTAATAATTCTCAAAATGTCCACAACAGCATAAAATAGTCTATAGGTAGAGTTAAGAATTGTATAGAGAAGTTGACTGTTAATAAAAGGCCACTAGTCAGTTTGTTACCGTGTAATAAGTAGTACAATAATTTTATTATAAAACTTAATTAAAAAGTGGAATAATGAAAGTGTTTGCATTTTTGAAGATAAAAATATGAAACAATCATTTTAAGAAGCAAATAAAATGTGAATACTGTTTTTTTAGTAGCAGTATTTGAAATTGCAACTATAATAATAATAATAATAATAATAACGCACACACTCAACATAGCTCCACACTAGGGAAACCCTGTGTCGCGGGTGCCATGGACACACACATAGACAACCACAAATTACACCCAAACTCACGAGAGAAATAAATGTAGGCCATACAAATATTTCTCCCGGCCCGGGAATCGAACCCGGGGACCTCTGCGTGGCAGTCCGGTATGGTAACCGTTCGGCCACGGAGACAGTTAAATGCAACTAACACTAATTGAAAGAAACATTTTCATTGGTCCACTGTAACGAAGGATTGTGTACCCATTTGGATCGTACTAGATTAGATGTAATTTTTGTACCTTTGCCTAGATCGTGAATTTTACGAATATCAGTCGATGTTTCCTTATAAATGTGTCGCCTTCCAAGCTTGTCGTACAAGTGTTTCGTATAATGTACAGTTTACTCTAAGTACTATTTATTGAGAGCACACATTATAGAGGGTCTTACAGAATAATAAAGTACAGCTTGTCTACCCTTTTATTAATGTTAATAATACGGTAAAGAAGGTTTTGCTTGATTATTTTGCAATTTATATGAAACCCTTAAAGTATTTTAAACTTTATTTTTGTTTTAGTATTTATTTTTGTTATTGAACCAATGGTTTTGTGCAACGTTGGAGCTACACAGAGCTACTTAGTGCCACGTAACGCTATAAAGCGCGACACTGTCTAAATAACTCCTCGCTCTCGCTCGCACTCGTTTTGACTGGGTCGTTTGCACTATTTGTTGGGTTTGTAGCAGCTACTCGTACTATGTGGCACTAGAGCGCCATGCTGTGCGAAGCCTAAATGGAATTGAGATTGTATTAAGTATAAAAATATGGGTAATTAGTGATTTTTATGAAACAAATAAGCATGAATATAATTGATTTGCTTTAAAAGCGTATTATATTTTATTCCACAGAATTAACTTTTCCCGTAATGCCATGTGTTAAGATATATATTTCTTAATTTTTACTTCATGGTTATAACGTTATAACTTGGACCTTTTAAAGGCGAGAGTGAATAGGCATTATTTAGGTGTGCATGGTCCATCGTCGACCTCATCGTCACTTTCCATCAGGTGAGATGGAGGCCAAATGCACACTTACATTAGAATAATAACAAAAAATAAAAATAAACGGCAAATGACGCAGTTTCTCACAGTCATCATTCATTTATATCATCTATCTATCAGAAAATGTATTAACGATATTTTCATAGCAGCCGGGCAGCCACACTCTTCGTTTCATTTCGTCGGATTTTCATTTATTTTTCACATGAACTCATTCAAAAAATTTATATATTTATATCAATCTTTGTTGTATTTTTTATAAGCTATATCATGTTTTACAGTGTTTATAGGTGACTGTATGTAAATGCGTAAACGGAACAGTGTTTATTTTACTACAAGTAGTAGTCGTTTTGATAACTGGGTCCTATTTTGTAACTCTATTGATAAAAATCTATTTAAAACTATCGACATCGATTATGGACAACTAGTGAAGACTTTTGTAAATGATATAATTATAAAGGTCATCGTATATAATAGAATAGAACCACATTACAGCTGTCGGATTTTGAAAAGAAAATCGATTTATTCACTAGATTCATAGATTGATTTAATAATCAAAGAGATACAAAATAAGGCTTTAAATATATTTATGTATCTGGGTACTACACTAGGCATTGATAACGCTTTTATGTAAAAATTATATAGTAGTAACCACAGACATATGTTTTTTATCTATGATTCATATTAAAGGGAAATAAAGGTTTTAATTAAATTTTCGTAAACTTTGATTACTCAATAATTTATAAGCTCTTACGAGCTTATAAAAAATTTTATGTATTTAGGCTTAAATAAAATTGTTCATTTGGTTTCTTTAGCTAAAAAAATTGTTACTACTGTAATATTTTTACATAGAAGTAATAATGGTAGCGACTGTATGGACGTATGTTCAGGTAAATATTGTTGTTGCTTTGTCAGTGATGCGCGTGCGCAACACCAAATAAGTATTATGATGATTATATTTATTGAATAAATACCATGTTCTTAATTTGCGTTGTTTTACTTTTGTGTTTTCCGTAAAATAATTACTCAAAAACATGTTTTTATTAAGTGACAACCCTGACGTCGAAAATCCGGATATTTGGCTGATAATTAAAATAATCCACGGAATTAGTTCATGATAATTTTAGAATACTAATACGGTGGATAATTGAAGTGAAAAAATAAAAACGGAAAAAATCAAATGAATTCGTAACGAATGAACCTTTGTCGTTGCCGATTAGTTTAAATTGTGTATCATTTATGGTTACATAGAACGACTAAGTTGGTTGACCAATATTTTTCAAATATAAAAATATTAATTTTTATTTCTCCGGATGAAAATTACCTCATTTTAATTTTTTTTTTTTTCAAAAACTTTACATATTTGTTACACCGGTGTTCTATTCTCGCATTTGTATTAGTACAAACATTGTGTCATGTTTGAATCAGTTTTTAATTGTTTCATTGGACACTTTTTGACCGGTCATCGGTTGTTCAGTGGAAGCCACTGGAAACAGTAGTGTCTGTGTCAGCACATGTAGTGATCGATTTCATATTAATTGTACGAAAATAGAATTTTTTTTTTAACGCACACTCAACGTAGCCCCGCACTAGGAAAACCTTGTGTCACGAGTGCCATGGACACACGGATAGACAACCACAAAAATACACCCAAACTCACGAGAGAAATAAATGTAGGCCTTAGAATAATAACGCATAGAATGATAGTTTCATATCAAACGAACTGTCACAAGTGAGGCAAAAACTAAATTCATGTAGGCGTAAGCAACTTGTAACTACGCTCGTCGGCACGCACACAAATATACAAATAATGATGCCATGGAATCACATTTCCCTCAAAAGTGGGGAAATTGTATCTTGCTTAACTCATCATTAAGTTAAAGGTGCCTACAGATTTGCCCGACATTGTCGATCAGGTGCCTACAGATGTGCTCGATTTTGTCGATCGTTACTGTCGATCGACAATGTCGATCAGGTGCCTACAGATATGCTCGGTTTTGTCGATGAAAAACGAATATAGCACTTATTTGTAAATCCAAGATGGCGGACACGATTTTTCAAAATATGCTATATGGGTATCCTTTTCAAGGTATTTGGGGATGCTCATTACGAATATGGCACTCATTTCTAAATCCAAGATGGCGGACACGAGTTTTCAAATAAATGCAATATGGGTATCATTTTCGAGGTACTTGGGGGTGCTCATTACGAATATGGCACTCATTTCTAAATCCAAGATGGCGGGCACAATTTTTTCAAAAAAATGCTATATGGGTATCATTTTCGAGGTATTTGGGGATGCTCAATGTGAATATGGCACTATTTGTAAATCCAAGATGGCGGGCGCGATTTTTCAAATAATGGCAAGTTGGGTATCTTTTCGAGGTATTTGGGGGTGCTCATTACGAATATTGCTTTTGTTTGAACTGTCGTGTTTGCCATCTTGGATTTAGAAATGAGTGCCATTTTGTATTGAACATTCCCAAACATCTCGAAAACGATACCCAACTTGCCATTATTCGAAAAATCGCGCCCGCCATCTTGAATTTAGAAATAAGTGCCATACCTATTCGAAACCTAAAACCGAAAATGCCATAAGCAAACTTTAAAGAAAATAAATGTTAAAATAGATTAAAAAA